GGGATACAACGACGTAATATGAGTCGACTCACATGAGATAAAATAGTGGATATCCATTCACCCTTAAAAGTGGTGCAATGATGTTTGAGAATGGAATTGTTCCATTAATTTTGTGAAGTTAAAAGGAATTAGCTACTCCTTTTGATAGAATCCCTAGGACGTTAAATGATAAATTTAAACATCGAGGGAAATGGACTAATGTCACTTTGATAACAAATAGGGATGGGAACCCAACTTGTGTGATTGGAGATCCCATGAAGCAAGTTCAAATGGGTAATAACAAGTCTTCTATTTGTTCTGCTAGCCTTGTAAAATGTCCATTTCTATGATGTGGAAGGCTAGACTGCATCTCTTTGTGAGGTTGAGTTAAAACTCTTAATAACTGTCATAGCCCTTACGGGTGGTGTGTTAAGTGCGGGACACACTTGATGAAGTCACCTATATGAGTGTGAGGTGGGGCCGCCTCCATGAAACATTGACAACGCTTCTAGAGCACTCAAGAAAACCAAGCACGCGCACGGCCTAGAGGCGCACAACGGCGTTAACGACGAGAAAGGTGGGGGTGAAAAATGATCCCCTAAGACACTGACTTACCAAAGTAGATTATTGGTTCATAGAAACTATACGTTTCACCAATAAACTCGGTATTTAAAGACTTAGACGTCTAGGTCTGGTTCAAGTCTACGGACACCAGATTGAAAAACCTCACCCCATATATGAAACCCAGTAAGGAATTACTGTTTTTAAAACTTTAAAATTAATTCATTTGAAATAGTGGGGGATTGTTGGAAATTTTGTGGTATTTCAAATGTATAAATTTTAATTATTTTTCCGGGAAATTTTATCACAACTCAAAAGACCATTTTATCCCACTATATTAATATTATTATATTGATCATTATAATAACTACTATTAACTTAACGTTAATGTGTGACGTTAGAGCCTCTTAAGTTATTCCACTAAATAACTTTTAATATTACATGAAGACATTAAATCTCTTATTTAATATCATGAGTAACGTTAGAGCCTCTTTGTTCTAATATTAATAGACCGTTAATATCACGTGGAACGTCCGTTTCATGTGGACTTCAACCTGAACATCCTCACATATAAAAACGAGTGTATCGATGCTTAGATATGATATATAATATATATCAGCTATAGGCTGAGCTGGTAGTGAAAGGTTGAGATGTCAGTGATTATTTTGCAGGTCAATTCTCGAAGCTAGATAGTGACTGAGGTCAATTTAGGAGCAACACGGTCAACACGTTGATTTTGGAAGGATAAAGCCAACAGATGGAACTGCCGGGGACAGATCTTACGGTCCTAGTTTATGGGAACTGCCTTGGGTTTCGATAAGCAATTGGTATGGCCTGCTTTTGCGCCTAGGCAAGACCACGAGACAAAGTCTATAATTGATGTGTGTTCGCCTCTCTGCCTTTCTCCAACCCGAAACATCATTATAAGTCTTCACCATGTTGCGCCTCTATCAACTTTGCATTTCATTACACCATCCTAGATTTCCCGTGTGCTGCCGTCACTCGTTTGGGCCAGCTCTGCCCTTGTTGTCACTTCATAAAAGAATATGCTTTGACACCGACAAATTTCATTTTACTTCACACGGATGTTTTTATCTCCTATCATTTGGGATGGAGACAAAGACTCACTATTTTTTGGCTTTGGAATATGATGGATAAAGCAAAAAGGTTCATTAAACTGTCTGCGCTTCTTTGTTATGAAGTAGCAGTCAGTCGATGTAATTTGCGACGCGATTTTCACTATGGGGTCATCCGGAAACACTCTTTATGTACTTTTAGTACAAAGGTAAGGTTGTGTACATCCAACCCCGTTACCACCCCGTAGGTGAGCCTTTGTGGCACCGGGGTAATGATGATGATGATTGGGATATCTTTATCTCAGATCTTAGCTAAGTTCTAAGTAGTTAAATCGTTACTCGGTGGTAACTTGGTCAAGGGCCAATTAGCAAAAAGGAACGAGTACTCGGGATTACTCAGTGACAACTCGGTTAAGAGCCGAGTAGCGAGTAGGAACGAATACTTAGGATTACTCGGAGATTACTCGGCTCTGTATATAGTCTTCTCATTCTAGATATATGGAGCCATTTCATTCGTAGATATGACTAAGATAATATTGATGTCAAATCTAGCTTTCTCTGCCCTGATAGATTTTTTCAACCAGTGATTGAGCAAACCATTTTCATCACATCATTGGTTACATGTTAGAAGAAGAGACACTTCCCATAATCTGGGCAAAGTGTTCTTTAAGATGGTGAACTCCAGACATTTTCCTATCACAAAATTTACACCATAATAAATATTTAATAGTAGAATCTCTGCACTCTCCCCATATATATCTTATATAACCTGATTTTTCTCTTAAATGTCATTTTAGCAAATTCACAACCATTAGAAGCCCCAGAAGATTTCGTTACTGCCAAGTTTTAGACTAACAGATTTAATCCCAAAAAAATTGATTGCCGAGTAATTTGACGAGTCAAACTTTTCAACAAATTAACAAAAATCGCCAAGTACTCAGCAAGTAACTCGGAAAAACATAATGGGGCGAGTCATGATGCTCTAACTGGCAAGGCCAACCCCCGACTCGCGAGTACTCACCAAGTAGATAGCAATACTTAACCTATGGTAGACCGTTGCCTTTGAATTGTGACTTCGGAAGAATGGTTGAGATGGAAGTAAATGAGAAGTCAGTTTTGGACCTTTTGATCCCACTATTATTCAGATATTCCAACTTTTGGTATTAATTTAATAAATGATAAGCATCTGATGATGTGGCAAGCATAATAACGTTAATGAGAATTGAGAAAAAAGGAGATTGGTACTTGGTACATGCTGTTTTTCTTAAAATCAGACCAGTCTGCATGGGGATTCAGTTTTATCTATTGAATATTTGGGAGGGATTTTGAGCACCCAGTATGAAATATACCACAGTACAATTTATAGAGAGGAAAAGGACTAGTAGTTAGCATCTGAGCTGACTCGGAGAAGCATAAGTGAAGCAAAGGTTTAAATGAGTAATGGCATTCATAATCACGTAAAAACATGTGTGTGAATTGTGAAATGCTACTAAAAGATTCAGTTTTATCTATCGAATATTGGGGAGGTATTTTGAGCACCCAGTACGAAATACGGAGTGTACTGTATACCACACTGCAATTTATAGTGGAAAAAGACTAGTAGTTAGCATCTGAGCTGACTCAGAGAAGCATAAGTGAAGCAAAGGTTTAAATGAGTAATGGCATTCATAATCACGTAAAACATGCGTGTGAATTGTGAAATGCTACTAAAAGATTGTTGGGGAGTTTTATGTGTGGATGGCATTTGAGAAAATAGAAGAAAGGAAATAAAGAACTATAAGGATGAACTATATTCACTTCACTAAAGGTTTCTTATCAATCCCAAATGGCAGCAAGACTCGCAGAAAAAAGGAGATTGGTACATGCTGTTTTTCTTAAAATCAGACCAGCCTGTGTGGTGATTCATTTTTATCTATCTCGGGAGGTATTTTGAGCACCCAGTATGAAATAAACCACACTACAATTTGTAGAGTGGAAAAGGACTAGTAGTTAGCATCTGAGCTGACTCAGAGAAGCATAAGTGAAGCAAAGTTTTAAATGAGTAATGGCATTCATAATCACGTAAAAACATGCATGTGAATTGTGACATGCTACTAAAAGATTGTTGGGGAGTTTTACATGTGGATGGGATTTGAGAAAATAGAAGGAGATAAAGAACTATAAGGGTGAACTATATTCACTTTAGTATATCTTACCAATCCCAAACAGAGGCGGACCCACTAAGGGTCCCACGGGGTCCCGGGACCCCGTGAACTTCGGAAAAAATACCTTTATATTATATATATATATTATAAAATGAATTATTAAATGTATATTTAGACAAAAAAACGATTTAAAAACCCAAAGAACGGAGGCGGGGAACGGGAGATGTGCTGGATTTAAGATTTCTATTGAGTGGGAGGTACCATGTCCGACTCCCTTAGGCTTTTTTTGTTTTCCAAAACTATTTTAATTAAATAGACCAAAGCTACGTCGTTTTGGCCTTTTTTTTTAATCGCTACCAATCCTTAAACGCAGAGGCAGAGTACTCGATCGATACCCCCAAACCTTTATACCTACGTGGCTACATATGTTGAGAAAGATGTTTTTGGTACTATTAGTGATGATTCTATTATAGAATACGTAGTATTTCCAACAAATGAAGCCTAGGAGGGTACATCTGTAGAATTGTTGAATGATTTTTATATGTACTTTTTTGCTTTATAATATCTTAATGTTTTGATGGTGTATATTATCAATGAAGTGTTATGCTTCTTTAATTTTTTTAAATTAGTTTTATATTAATTAGAGATTAGAGATATAAAAGGGTAGGGACCCCGTGGCTCCGACTTTCTGGGTCCGCCACTGATCCCAAAGGGCAGCAAGACTCGCAGAAAATTACGTAGTATTTGAGATGCATCATAATTGTAAAAGTTACTACCTCCAGCTAAAGCTTCTCATAGAAAAATGATAAGGTTATTTAAATAAGGTTAATTAAGGTTATTCGAGGATATTTTGAAAAGTATTGTTGATGGATATATAATATAAGGTCATTGATTGATAACCTTTAGCTAAGACGTCCAAATGAGGCAAGTGAGAAGCTTAAGTTGGAATGGAGGGAGTCATAAGTTATTAACCAATTGACTAAGATTGCTATGGAAGAAATTCATAGATAATCTGATAAGATCTATCCCTAGTAACTACTACCAAATGAAAACCACACAACTCAGCTGTTTTTTACTCGACCTGAATTTAGTCCTGAACTTTCCTCGGTGATATCAGTTGTTTATGAAGCATAGCATGAGCATAAAAATAGTCGGGCTGTTATTTTCTCAACTAATAACCCAACAGAGATACAGATCTATAAATTAGATGTCAACGGACAACATAAACTCAACACACATATTGCATATATGCAGCAAAAATAAGGGTACAGAAAATACACAAGAGGTAGATGTGAAATAATGGGAAAAGGTACTCCAATAGGAGTCCTGGGCAGTATATTTATACTAAAGAGTTTAATACATATGCCTAATAATATTCTATTAGTAGACAGAGAATCTGTTTAGAAAAAAGGCTAACAAGTATTTGGTGCTCTATAAGATACGTTTAACATTACACATCTGTACAAGTGGGCTTACTTTTAAATTTGCTCGCAACTGCTTTAATCCATCCTCTGTCTTGACTATCATAAGCAAAACTGTTACCAGAAGCTACCAGGACAAACCCATCATTCTTTGAAGTGCCCTTGTCACTTGAATAAGAACATGAGAGCGGCTGTACTAGAAGAGATCGAGTCCCCTTGGGAAGCAGCTCCTGAATTGGAGAATCTGGAACCAGACATTCTTTTTAGTTGATTCTAGCTTGAGAAGTGACAATTTAGTCTTCAAAAAATATACAGACTCAGTGAAGTGAATAGCATGCTAGAGCGGCATAGCGGAGCGTAGGAGTCATTGGGCACTACAAGACCACCTGCAGCATCGTGTTTGTCTCTTGCAGGAGTAACGGTGGCTACAGCTGGCGTTGTACCGGGTGTTGCAGAGCACTACAGTTGGGCTTTTTCTAGGGTAAGTTTTGTTTTCAGAAGCATCAAGGGTAAAGTAAAGTATTTTAAAATAAATAGTAACCAGCCAAAACCCTTCTATATACATAAAACCCTTAAAATCCGCTCCACCTTTTGAAATTATTTCTTCTCTTCACTACTGTTGCAACTCACACTTGATACAATGACAAGCATCTGATGATTCTGATTCTATAGTTCATCTTCTTCAAGAACCTCTGCTGCGTCATCGACTCATCTTCTACAATAACAACATCTGCTACACTCCTTTTTGCTTCTTCAAGTAGTGCCTTTTGCTGCTTCATCTTCTACAAGAACAACCTCTGCTGCACTCATTGTTAGGGACCCAGACACTACCAATAATAAGAGTCTTATTATGTAATTTTAATATTGTTCAATAATAGGGTTTTAGGCCCAATAACATAGTTGAGGGCTGGCTCTTTAGGAGAGTATTATATAAGAGGGAGTAAGGGGGAGAATGGGGGGTTGGGATCGGGGCTGGGATTTTGAGAGTGCGAGACCACTTGAAGCGTCTCACACTCTCACTTTCTTCTATCATTATTTTCTGTTTTTCGTCATTAAATCTTCATCAATATACTACGAGTTTCTACTGTGATTGTTATGTTACCTATCGCTCATCTTCTTTGACTCTTCTGAGTAGTGTCTTCTGCACTACTCTTCTTTGATTCTTCTGAGTAGTATCTTATGTTGCTTCATTTCTACCAAAACAGCCTCTGAACAACTGCTTACAGCTTCCAACTCTAGGGGAAAGAGCCGCTTGGTGGAACATGTTGAAGAGGAAGAACAGACAAATATGGACGAAGAATTTTGCAGTAGCCATAGTAGTGAAAATGACAAAGAAGACGAGATAATGTTAGAAGAAGAATTCGATGAGGAGCAGTGGTGAATGATGAACTAAGAAGGGGGGCTTGGATCTAAATTTTATGAGGATTATTTTATCAAGACTTGAACCAGAATCTTATTTTTTATTCAAGACTTAAACCAGAAACTATTTTTGATTTATTGTTTAGACTTGAGCTGTTTTAAATATTAATAGCTTCACTAGGGAGTATTCGTAGGTAACTTAAGATTTATGAATGTCAAGATGTTTGAAACTTTCAGTCACATATACCATTTTTTTAATTAGATATATGTATGCAATGTAATTATATGCATACATATATTATGTATTTTGCATATATAGTCTCTGAATAGCGGTCATCCCGCTATCCAGTATAACGCTGTAGCGTTTTCAGGGTTGGCCGCTACGCTCCGCTATCCGGGATTGACAACACTGCAAAGACTGCAACTTAGGTTCTTTTTGTTGGAGGAATTTGGAGGGGTTCAAAACGGAAGGCTATTAAAGGCTTAGTGCCTTAGTCTATATCTTGACAAATAGATTTCCCTTAACGAAGAAAAGGTGATAGAAATGTTATGCCATCACATATTAATATATTCGTGGGTACATAAATATACACATATAATTACACACACACATATAGGAGATGGTTTATGTAAGAACTATCTTATGTTGTGCAAAATGAGAATGGTGCAAAATGTTGTGCATTCTAATTCATAGCGGTGCAGTTTGGAGTGGCAAAAAGAGTTAAGTTTGTTTGAAAAAATGCCACCTCATTTTTTTATTTTAATTCATAACAATGCACATTTTTGTCTCACATAATGCACAAGTGTCAAATCTAACGCACCAAATCTATTTTATCCAAATACAAATGTATACATATATAAATAGCTACATGTGTAGGCATACATATACTTATACATGCATATATGCATATATGTACATGTACATATAAATATACACACACACACATATAGGAGATGGTTTATGTAAGAACTATCTTATGATAAGCACTACTTCTTATAGTAACACTTCTGATCTGAACTAATGGTAGTATCATTCAATAGTTTGACAGAAAAGGTGGCATTCTTGTAATATATATCGGAAATGCTTAGAAAATTATATATTTGAGATTTTGTATATGGAAGGTTTTGGAGGTCTACGTCTATATCTTCATTAACCAATTAATGTACATTTGAGGTTTTATATAAAAAAAAATGCAGAAATAACATAATAGGTGATAATAAATTAATCACCTCTTATTCATTTTTAGAAAAATTATAATTTTAAGATATACGGATATACCGTGTTCGAACACAATCTATATTTATGATTTTCCGAGTCTTCAAGATAGAGAAAATTAGCACAATAAAACTAGCATTCTTGGGAACCAATGTGATTTGGAATTTCGGAACTAATACAATTGCAGTAGGACAAATCATACCTGTAGCTTCGGTGAAATATAGTGTATCCTCCAACTTTAAATAACCAAGCTGCAGAATTTGTTTCTCAAACCAATTACATATATCAGCTTTTGACATATCCCGTGGAGTTTTCCAGTAGCCACGCACACAAAGTGCGTCTTGTGTTGTGATAAGCTACAATATTGTATGGTGCAAAATGGCAAAAAAAAAACTAGCAGACCCGACACGGCAAAGGATGATGAAATTACTTATAGGCAAGCACTACATACCACAGATATAGTGTTTGTATTGCGCAGCAAAGCATATGTTCCCCAAGCCAAATCCTCCTTCAAAGCATCAGGAACATTTTGCGAGATGACAAACATTTGGTCCGCATCTTCTGGAAGATTCCTTTCATCGCGTAGAACAGCACCCTACAATCAATGATATAACAGATGTTCTGATATACAAAGTAAGCACCAAATGTAATAAGCATACAAATATTAAAAGTGGAAGAAACTATGCTCCCGAGTATCTGACTTATAATCTGTTTCATTTTAAAGACTCTACAAAGATGGCTTGATACTTAACTTTCTGGAAGGAAAACTAGAACAGTATTTAATGTCCATCACAACATATTTACCTTGCTAAGTTGCTGACTCAAAACAAAAAAGGCAGAAGCTTTTACCTAGAAAATACTTCGTATTTGTTTTGTGGTTCCAGACGTCCAAAAAAATACTTAGCTATATTAAGCTATAAATTTGATCATTTGAAAACAATTAAGTAGTACGGAGTATCTTTTATTAAGTGCCTGAGAATAAAAATAAATGAGAATAAATACCTATCAAAATTAACACGCACGCACAATTTGATTATTTCAGAAAATGGAATTAGCAACTGGAAATTACCTTCAGAAATCTCCCAATGTAGGGGATTACAACAGAAAAGGCAGCAAGAAAAAGACCTAGAACTTCTGTTCTCTGTAGAATATATGGATATAGAAGGTTGAAGTTATAAAATCATCAAAAACGTGATTACAATAAACACATCAAAAGAGTGTATCTTAATCTTAAAACTCTATAACAATATAACAAGTACCATTGTATAAAAAGATCTATCTTTCCAAATAATATACAAAAGATCGAGCTTACCATCTGGGCTGCGGTGATAGTGGATGAATCCGAGTCTATATAGTGATTCAACAGTATCAACGAACCAAATGCGTACCCTATATATCTCGGTAAGTAAGATTCATCCAATCCAGGTATTCCTTTTCCCAGAAGATATATAAAAATTACTGCTTTCAGATACATGATCGTAATTTAGAAAATATGAAAGCGGCACACCGGTATACGAGTGCATATGTACATACCGAGGGTGAAACGAAGAACAGAGAGTTTGAGATGTTCCTGTTCGGTTTTGGTGCTTCCCAAATTGTTGCCCGCACGGTTACAGCGAACTTTAGGAGACGGTTTTCGTATCCCATAGCGGAAACTTTCCGGCGGGCGCTGATATTTGTCACCGGTTCTAGAAGGGAGCGGGATAAACAGAGTGAGTGGGAAGGAGCTGCTGCTCATTTCTTAGCTTGAAGCAGGTGAGGGACGATGGTCAATTAGGCATGGCAATGAGTAGGGGCTTGTATGCAAGACCCAGACCGGCCAGTCACATTGCTGGCGGGTCCGTCATGCCATTTGTAAATTTGACTTTTTTTGGTTAAACAGTTTCATTTTAATCGCTTAATTAGGATATCAATTTTTAATTATATTCTAATTTGGAGTTTACAACTTTGGAGAGATTTTAATTTATATTCTCAAATTGATTTGTAAATTTGACTTTTTTTTGTTAAACAGTTTCATTTTAATCGCTTAATTAGGATATCAATTTTTAATTATATTCTAATTTGGAGTTTACAACTTTGAAGAGATTTTAATGTAGTTTCTAAATATATAAATTTTAATTATTAAGAATTGAATTAATTATCGATATGGAGCATTGACTTTTATTATTGGTTGACCAAAAAATGTTGACTTTGCAAAACAATTTGGGACGGAGGGAGTATGTATTTTTATTTATGTAAAGTTGTTACCAATTGAATCTATATAAAGTTTATTTCTAAATAATAATTAAAAATTAATATATTAAATCAAAACCATGATAACCTGAAATTTTCAAAAAATAAGAAAATATTACTCCGACTTGAATAGTTAATCTATTTAATTATATTAATAATTGAACATATGAATTAAAATGCTATATATAAAGAAGACATTGATAATCTGTCGTTCATCTCATTCTAATATATATATTAATATATTATAAGATTAAAGAATTTATGATTTACTGTATACACACATATGTATGTTAAAGTATATTTGTAGTATAATTTAAGAAAAAGTATGTATGTATTGAGCTGGTCGGGGCGGGGCGGGGCAAGGCGGGTCGGCACGGGTTAATACTAATACCCGGACCCGCCCCATTGTATAGGCGGGGCGGAGCGGACCCACTTCATTTGGAAGACGGGGCGGGCCGGACCCGCCCCAAATGTCTCGGGCCAGGGCGGGTCACTGCGGGTCAGGTTTTTTTTACATGCCTATGCTCAATCCATACACCAATAATAATAAAAGCTTTACCAATAATAATACTTCGTACAAACTTTGAATCTGAATTTTAAAAATATCAATTATTTGAATTTAAACACAAATAACATGGAGTCATTTTTTGACAAAAAAAAAACAGTCATTTTAGACATCAAAAACTAATGATCACTCATCAAATAAATGGTATTTGGAGATATATTCACTTATTAGATATTTTATACAAGTTTTTGATGATTTAAATGAGTGAATTTGTAGTTAAAAATGTTCTATATCACTTTTGGTCTATATTTAAATAATTGATATTATTAAAACTTATTTCCATAGAAGATAGTTTATATTATTTAAAGTTATTCTTGATTATTCTTTCGGAGTATTATTCTTGATTCATAGAACATAGTTTGTATTATTCAAAGTTATTTTCTCTATTTAAATTAGTATTTGTAATACAGCGGCGGAGCACCGGACTACCGGAGCCTAGTCAAATTTATGTCTAGTACAAAGTGTGAGGCATACCAAACTTGACCAATCGTCACAATTTTATTCACGTAGGCAAATTAGAGTAATGAGATCTCTAAGTTTATCTATCTTTGAGACTTCAAGAGAAAATGGGGTGTATACTCTATTTTAACAGGAGAACTATTGTCATGTCCAATAGCCATGGAGAGAAGAAAGAAAAACCACTCCCTAAAACATTTAGAAAAGCACTCTAATTCGTTGTTGATATTATATATAGATACAAAAAGCTGCAAGGATAGATGAACTTCTCATGATTTATTATTGAACTATGTCACTCATATATAATGGTACAAAACTAAAAATAAACTAATAATCGAGGCATAAATCGGAGAAACATTATACCGCGTATAAGAAAATAAGAACATGAATAAAAATGTGTTACGACTTAAAAAGAACAATGCACACATTCTTTTCATGTTGATTTGGTTGCCAAACAAAGGTTGCTAAGATCTTAGAGGGACGAGCATATCGAACAAGATAAACTATTTGGGTGAAAAGTAAAAATATCAATGACTTCTGGAGATAATAAATGGACTGGAGTTTTTACAAGCGGAAGAAGATGAGCTGGAAGAGGAAAAGGAAGGGGAGTAGGAATAAGAGAAAGGGGAAGAGGAAGAGGAAGAAGAAACAAATTAGAACTTGCAAAGCGTCAAACACAAACTTGTCAAAAAACAAGTGGTGAGTATAAGGCATACTCTAAAAGTAGAGGAACCGAAATCAAGGAGAAACGATTAAAAGTTAAGAAAAGAATGTATGAAGCCTTTTATTTCAAATTAATTAGCTCTTTTTCGCTCCATTTTTGCTTCACGTACTTGTTTTGAAATAAGGCTAAAAATAACATTATGAAAACAAGAAAAATGATTTTCCATTTGATGTTGTTTCCTTTCAAAACATCACTATCACATGTTTTAGTTTTAAAATTTTTGTTATATGAGGTATATCAGATAATTGTGAAATCGTAAACCAAAAACTTTAAGCGAAAGTAAAATGAGACGGATCCAATGTTGGTTTTTCCTTAATTTCTCAGTACCTACTTCAACTTGTTAATTTATTAGTTGTTAATTTTAATTTCAAGTGACTTTCTCCCTACCATCTCATTCACCAAAATACCTTTCTAAAGTCAATAAAATGCATCTTAAAATGGGGAAAAGGTAAAAGCATTTACCGTGCCGTAATAAAAAAGAAATTAGTAACGACTTTGACCAATGATGATTGTATTTTCTAGAAGAAATATGTCCATCATACAGGTTCTCAGTGCATAATTGACGTTTTAAAACTCACATTTACACTCAACAATTGGTCGGGGTAAGTTACTAACTTAATAGTTCATTTAAGTTACTTGACCATCAAATTGGATTAGTAAAAAACTATTCCGATATAAATATTACTTTTTTATGATCTCGATAAAGAATTCATCTTTTTATTTTAATAAATGATATTGTGAATACACTAGTGTAAAAAAACACTTTCTATATGGGTTAAAGAACACTTTTTATGTCGGTTCCCGTAACGACATAGTAGCCATCGATAACCGTTATTGAATGTTTACAGTGTCGGTCCAGAATCACCCCATATAAAATCCTTTTTATATGGGTTAAATTATCAACCGTTTTTGAATGTTTTTAGAAGGTAAACCCTATCCCATAGATTTATGCATAATATATTCTTTTTAATACTGTAATTAACATAATGAAATCATTAAATGAATATTATGGCAAATATATTGATAATTATTGTAGCAAAAATACAATGTTTCACAAGTTCATCCAAACAAAAACTACAAAGTTTCTCAAATTCACCCAAGTCAAATTAAATGTACAAAGTTTCACATGAAACAAACATTATTCATGCTAGACATCAAAACAAAAATGTATTTGTCAATAGCAAATGTTTGTGCTGTCACAAATAAATGATGCTCAACGCTCTCTTGTCTCGGTAATTTCTTGTTGGCTGAATGGCTCTTGAACATTGAATGTCTGCAAAATCAAAAATAAAAGTAGAATCACACTCAATAAAATAAGAATATGAAAATAGAATATCACCTTCATGCAAAATTAACCATTTGACCATAGCTGAAGAATGACTAATCCATCTTATTCTTAAAATTCATAAAAGAATGGTATTGTGTAGAAACATTCTTCCAGAATCTCACTTGGGCATTTTTACAGACATTTTATAGACATGTCTAAACTCAAGATTATTTAACTTAAAAACGGATTTTGAAGGAAATAAACAACCCGTAACTGAAATAAAAAACTCACTTGGGCTTACCTTCATGTTTAACATAAAGATCTGAATGTTGAACATGCCTGTCATTTAGGAATCTCAATATCTATGTCTTTAACTTCTTCAAAATTTATATTAAACCGTTAAATGCAGTTATCATGAGTAGGAGGCGGTGGAGGTTGGGATGATAGTGGAACTCACAGTTGTGTGATTTTTTAAAGAAGATCCTTTTAAGGAGGATGAAGTAGTGAGAGAGATAGTAAGAAATGATTATGAGTTGTGACGATGATGTGGTTGTATGTGGGACACAATATCAGGTTGTCGCACTTGCTTGGAGAGATTATCCCACCCTCTTAATATTTGTGCTAAATTCACATAGCTTGACAACAACATCACATGAAGTCTATTGTGATAAGTTTTATTGTTATATTTATGAACCATTGGTTCCATGTCTCTACTGGGAAACAACTATGTTATGTTTCACTGCAACTTTGGAGATCCTATAGGGAAGACAAAATGAATAATATCGCAGGTGTGTTAGGTATCCTGATCCTTGACCATGCCAAATATGAACTAATTGTGCATACTTTGCAATAACACATGCATGCAATAAAGAGCAACCGCAATGGTGGAGTGTCTAGTCCAAGTAAAACATGCCAAATGTCAATTAATTAAGAGGATTTCTAATCCGCATGGAACATAGTGGAATAGCCGAACACTAAGCTACTCAAATCCCCTCCAATGCATAAAGTCTAAAGCCCAATTTAAGTGTATATGTGGCCTTTTTTTATTAAATATAAAAAACGGCCAGGCCAATTAACTGATGCCCTATGTTAGTTAGTTTTCAACGTAAACTGATGGATAGGTTGTGTCGCTCTTGCTCTTTCTGAATATTTCATTGAACTCATTCCACGAACAGGTAATTTTATGCTTTTATTGGGTAATCAAATTGAACGTATATATGAACTGACGTATACTCGAGTACATATATATATATATATATATATATATATATATATATATATATATATATATATATATATATTATGGAGTAATATATACCCTATTTTACAACTAATTCATTTTGATTCCTACTGCTGATATAACAGATTGAATAATCTTGAAAACATATAAAATATTTATAACTTGATCTATCTGATATGTGCAATCCATTAGTAATATTATATACTCCGTATAATCTTTCATATGTATTATCAAGGTTATGTAAATTATGGTGTGCATCTTGATTTTATTATTTCTCAGTTTGAATATTTGAACATTTTGATATG